TGTTACATGGTACTGGAAATCCCACAATAAATTGATAAGGAATAGCCCAACACTTGGCGGCGGGTGATGATGAATAGCTGCCTTCCTTATAGTCTTTCTCTTCAAAGTTAAAGAAGAAAAGGACTGCAACCTCACATTTCTAGAGAAATTACACTCGAATAAAGAGGAAAACAGCATAAATCGGAAAATAACCCATAAAAGCCATAACAAATCTGGAAGAAGAATTGCCGTAACCTCAACTCTCTATAAAAATAAAACTCACATAGAGAAAACAAAAATAAGAAAATAGCCCTCAATGGCTGTATCATAACTCCGACCTTAACACAACTTGTTGTAAAAGGACCCTAACCTGACTCGTATTAGAAGGACGTAGCAAAATTCGGAGTAGAAAGACCGTAACCAAACTCGAAATAGAAGGACCTTAAACAACCTGTAGTAGAAGGACAGTATCATAACTCTGAGTAGAAAAAACGTAGCAAAACTCGGAGTATAAGGACCTTAACACAACTTGTTGTAGAAGGGTCGCAACACAACTCGTAGTAGAAGGACTATAACATAACTAGGAGTAGAATGGTCTTAGCTTAATTAGAAGTAGAAAGACACAGAGAATATATGGTTTCATACTCTAAAAATTCATGGCTGAAACTAGTTTTTTAGAACTAGAAACAAGCTCATTTTATTTTGATCCTTCCTGTCTATAAGATGCGTTTAGACATCCAACACACGTCTTATATGACATCACGTAGCTTATACATAATCTTTCAAACATGAGCTTTTACAATCTAGATTCATATAGTACACTACTTCTTATAAACAGGGTGGAGAACGATATGTTTCAACTATTTTAAATGTGTTTATCAGCAGAGTCACATGACAACTACAGCCGATATAAACTCGCGGTGAATGTCATATATGATAACTACATTTTCACATCGTAGGTAGTGGTATGCCATCAGAAAGTTACTGCTTATGGTATTTAACAGTCCTTTTCGACGCAAAGTATTCGTACAATTAGGCCATAAAGATGTCTTCAGATGATAAACAAAGAAATGTGGATCAACTTGTGTCACCAGGACCATCCAGAAACACACCTGCAACAAAGAGCAGCCCGGCAGTGGTGATCAAAGTGCAGCATCTTGTAACAAATAATAATCGGCATGCACCAAGGTCAGTCACAAAAGCCACCCACATGATGCTGGTAACGGCCATATTATAGGCAAGAAGGATCTCCAACTGTAAAAGTGACACAAATAATTTATACATAAGTTCCTTATATGGTATATTCATTCAACCATCGTATACTTCAAGCAACCGAAGAATAAAACAGCTTTTCGTTATATTCCATCCAAAAACATATCGGCCAAATTGCCAGATGGACCACCTATGGATTTCAGTGCGTTAAAACTGTTTATACTGGCGCTGTGATACTGTCTTCTTCACATACTTGATGACATATAGAAAGCTAACAAGGAGTAGTGGTGTGTCTTGAACACGACAGCCTTATGTCAGAGCCTTTCTAAACACCACAGTTATTGTCAAGAAGCCTGACTGTCAGATAGAGCATGGCCGAACGTGGTTATGTTGACTGTAATGTAGCCCTTTATATGGTTAGAACATGATATTTCATAACCAAAACGTTTCTTAACTGGGAAGGCTATATACAAATCTAATGACTGCTTTTATAATGGTTATACACTTAAAAACATGTTTTCATACTATTGAAGAATATGTAAAAGATAACAAGATATTGGTAGCATTTTATTCTCTACAGAATGAAAACGATATAAATATTCATTATAAAAATCTTGTTGATCATTATTCTGGACCACAAAATCGAAAAATACTGTTAGTTCTAGCTCTTTAAAGGTGTGAATTAATCAGATAGGACAAAATATAAGATTAGTTTGCTCTTTTTTTTTCTCATTGTATTTTACAGATTTACCCCTTATGACTGATAAAGTGCAGATGCCTAATAATAAATATTTCGACTTTGGTGTTCTCTAAAGTTGAAAGCAGTGGCGCCTTTACCGAGTACCAGTTTCACAAGCAACGTCACCAGGTCTGGGCTTGACGTCATGAATTTAGATGCAGAAAACCGGGTGGTGTTGAACGTTGGCGGAATCCGCCACGAAACCTACAAAGCCACCTTGAAGAAAATTCCAGCCACCAGACTCTCTCGCTTAACAGAAGCTTTGGCGAATTACGATACGGTTTTAAATGAATATTTCTTCGACCGGCATCCCGGTGTTTTTGGACAGATACTAAACTATTACAGAACCGGGAAACTCCATTACCCCACAGATGTCTGCGGCCCACTGTTTGAGGAAGAGCTGGAATTCTGGGGTCTGGATTCCAACCAAGTAGAGCCTTGTTGCTGGATGACCTACACGCAGCATCGAGACACCCAAGAGACTCTAACTGTTCTAGACAGATTAGATCTTGACACCGACAAACCTGGTGATGAAGAAATAGCCCGTAAGTTTGGAATGGAAGAAGACTTCCTGAACGGAACTTTAAGCTGGTGGCAAAACGCCAAACCAAAAATGTGGTCCCTCTTTGATGAGCCTTACTCCTCAACATCGGCCAAGGCAAGGAAAAAGCTATTAGAGTGTAATAAATGATATTACTTTACAGCTAAGGTAGAATAAGGTTGTTAGCTTGTTATAAATAATATTACTTTATAGCCAAGATAAGAAAATTGTTAGTTTGTAATAAATTATATTCGTTTACAACAGCTTAAAATTTAGAAGAAAAAAAAACTAGTTAGGTTCTAAATTTTTTTTTTTTGTACATTATAAAATTTGATGAAAATAATTCAAATTTCATCATTACATTATTCATTCACAAAATTAAATGTTTATGGAAAATAAATATTATTCTTTAAACGTTATACCACTATGAAATGGCTAATATATAGCTAGCTTAAATTCATTTTGAAACTTTATGAAATCAGGATGTTCGTAACACTAAGTTATTTCACTGAAAGACTAAATACTGTTTTGGAAAGAAAAACCTCTGCGATCATTAAACTAATGTTTTTCGGTTAAGTTTTGAAACTAAATTCATCTTTATTTATCTTTACATCAAAGTTGTGCTTACTAAAAGGTTCCAAATGACAAGATATAATTAGCTACTGTCATAAATACAAATATATCTTGTGATACTGCTCTTTTAATGAGCCAAGTTTTACTTCTCCAATTATAAAGGTGAAAGGCATACAACGTAATGATATCATCAGATATACAGTTTACAAACTACTGCGGCCCGGCGTGGCCAGGTGGTTAGGGCGCTCGACTCGCAATC